CTACGTATCTGAGCCAGAGTTTGGGTTTGTGGTCGTATTTTTCTAGAGCTTGTGTTTCAAAGTGTTCCATGTAGAGGTTAGCGATGACAGGTGAGAGGGGTGATCCCATGGGTGCTCCTTCTATTTGTTTGTATTTTTGTCCATTGTAGGTGAAGTATGTATTGGATAGGCAGTGGTTGGTTAGATCTAGGATGTGCTTGGGGGGGTTGTATTTGTTTTGGATGGCTGTCAAGGCTTCTTTTATTGGCACTTGGGTGAAGAGGGATATGACATCGAAGCTTACTAGTAGGTCGCTAGGTTGTAAGTTTTGTTTCTTTATGATCTCGATGAACTGGAATGAGTTTCTTACGTGTGAGTTGATGGATTCTGCATAAGGTTGTAGTTGTTTGGCGAGAAATTTGGCTAGGTTTTGTAGAGGTGAGCCTATGGAGCTGACTATTGGTCTGAGTGGGGTTCCTTCTTTGTGTATTTTGGGGAGACCATAAAGCTTGGGGCATCTGGATGATTTTTCTCTGGGTATGATTCCTTGCTGGATTTCTTCACTGATGGGGGAGGCTTTTATTTTGGATTTGGTAGTTTTTTCTAGGTAGGTGGTGGGGTCTGTCTTTAGGGGTTTGTATGTGGGGTCTTGGAGTAGGTTGGTTAGCTTGGTTTGGTAGTCAGATGTGTTCATAACCACTGTCGCGTTGCCCTTGTCTGCTGGTAGGATTATTATGCTGGTGTCTTCTTTCAGGTTAAGTAGTGCAGTTTGTTCTTCTTTGGATAAGTTGCTTTTGGGTGGTTTGCTAGTGCAGAGGATGTTGGTGATTTCGAGTCTGATTTTGTTAGCATCATCAGGGTTGGTTTTGGTCAGGCTGGTTTCAACTCCGCATATGATGGTTTCTGTGGGGATGTGTTTGGGAGCGACAGCAAAGTTGAATCCTTTTGAAAGGACCTTGGTTTCAGCTTCAGTGAGGATCTTGTCTGAGATGTTGTGCAATGTTTGTTTCATGTGTGGCTGTGGGGGAGGGGGAGTTGGTTTCTGGCATTGTTGTAGTTTCCTGAGTTTGTTGGTGTGTGTGTCTGTCTTCAGGGTGGTCTGTGTTTCGGCTCTCCAGACAGCGAGTTGTTTGGATTTGTCCCAAAGTAGAGGGTGAATCTTGTTGCTGAGTCTGAGGTGGAGTGTGAGGAGATCTTTGTTGATTTGGTCTAGGAGAAACCTTTTCCTGTGAAGTTCATTTCTAATTAGGGCCAGTTCTGTTCTTTTGTTTATGTTTATATTTTCTTAAGTTTTCGCTGGTACTTACATGTATGGTATTCAGCTTTGTTCAGGTATTTTCCCACATCATTGTAGTTGTGCTTTTAAAGTTGTAGCAACGTTTCGGCAGAATCTCATCTGCCATCATCAGGCTTCTGTATTGTGTCCGTCTGTGAGTCAGGCCCCCACAGAAACAAACTGGCCCCCACCCCCCAAACTGAAATAACTGTGGGGGTCTGACTCACAGACGGACACAATACAGAAGCCTGATGATGGCAGATGAGATTCTGCCGAAACGTTGCTACAACTTTAAAAGCACAACTACAATGACATGGGAAAATACCCGAACAAAGCTGAATACCATATATATATGTAGATGTAAATGTAGATGTAGATGTAGATGTAGATGTAGATGTATATACACATCCATATACATTTATACTTTGTAAACCTTTATATTCATTTCTATCTTAGAAATTTTATTGTAGCATAAACTCTTTGATTTCTATTTTGCATTTTTTTGACTTCCTTTCGTATCCCTCCAATTATAATTTTTTTCCATATTTCATAGAATTCTGAAGTGTCTCTTTCCTTCAGTTCTAACGTTAAGCTAGCTAGCTCAGCACAATGTAGAATTTTTTTTATTTTTTCATCATTAGGTATTTCTTTTAATTTCCATGTTTGGGCAATGGATAATCTTGCAGCTGTAATAATATGTATAATTAGATACAGATCTGCTTTTTTAGATTCTCATTTGTTATTCCTAATAAGAACATTTCTGATGTATAATTTATTTTTAAATTTAACATTTCCTCTATCCATTGCCAAATTTTTGCCAAAATTCTTGCATTTTTTGTACCCTTACCACATATGGTAGTCAGTGCCTCATTCTTTCAGGCATTTCCAGCATGTCAGAGATTGGAAACCATTCATTTAAGCTAATCTGGTGGGCGGGAGGTGCCATCTGTAGAACATCTTAAACAGATTCTCTTTATAAGATGTGGCTAGAGTGATCTTTTTATTCCTGTCCCAGATTTGCTGCCATTGATCCAGATTTATGTTGTAGCCAAAATTTCTGGCCCATGTGCCATTGTAACTTTGAATGGTCACTAAATGAACTGTTGTAAGTCAAGGATTACCTGTACAAAAAATACAAAAAGCTTCTTTGCTTGCAAAAAGCTGCCCTAAATACCAATCATTAGACTAAAAATACCTACAAGCCAGAGTTACAAATCAGGTAGGGTTCCAGAGCACCTTGAGGAATTAAAATAGTTAAAATGCAGTGATAACTATCAGTAGCCAACTCTGGCTCATAAAGTGAAACCCTTTAGCAGAGATGTCATTTAAGCTCTTCAGAAAGACCACACCCAGGAAAGCAATCCTTAGATCCATGTGCACCACTTAAAGATACTAGCTGGTCTTACTCACTTGGAAGTACACCCCAAAAGGACAGTGCCAGATACTACTAAAGCAATGAAGGAAGACCCCTCCTCCCCAGATAGAAAAAAAAAACCATGAGGCAGGAAAAAATTCAAACACAATACAAATAAATAAATCACAACAGTAGCTGTTGCTTGTTGAAGCTGAATAGGGAAAATTATCCCATCAATAAACACAGAATTAAATGTCACCAAAAACCAGTTTAAGACCAAAACTCAGAAAGGGTATGTAAACTCACATTTGAACGTCAATCTTTCTAGCTAGCCAAGAAGCCTTGCTGAATGGCACTCATCTTGGTTCCCGGTCATTAAAAGCTTCTTTCTGACAGCTCTGCTTCATTGTTCAATTATTTCTTCAAAGTACTGATTGTCCAGGGAAGTATTTCCTCCCAACAGCAGTGTAAAAATCTTAAAACAACCCTTCCCCTTTAAGAAAGTTAAGCCCCAGAAGCTCCAGAAACAAGAAGTCTAGGCATACTGGCAAGAATGCAATAAGGGTGGAAAAAAAACGAAAGGAGATTGCTTCTAACTACCGGTTCTGCTAACTGCTTAGAAAGTTAACAAGGGGCTGTATAGAACCAGTCAGAACTGGTAGAATCCCACCCCTGCAGGTTCCCCCCACCATAAAGTCTCCTCCTAGCTCTAGAAGTCCAGTTCCCCCCACCACAGAGTCTCCTCCTAGCGCTGGAAGTCTGGTTCTCCCCACCATAGAGTCTCCTCCTCGCGCTGGAATCTGGTTCTCCCACCATAGGGTCTCCTCCTACCACTGGAAGTCCAGTTCTCCCACCACAGAGTCTCCTCCCAGCCCTGGAAGTCTGGTTCTCCCACCATAGGGTCTCCTCCTAGCGCAGCATCTTTTTACCAACCGGCAACAGGGAGCTGCAGCAGAATGATAAGAGTCACATGCGTCTCCAGAGCTGCAGGTTGCCGACTCCTGCTCTAGGGAATAACAGAATAACAGCTGGAAGTAGTGGTGGGATTCAAAATTTTCTACTACCAGTTCTGTGGGCGTGGCTTGGTGGGCGTAGCAGGGGAAGGATACTGCAAAATCCCCATTCCCTCCCCACCCCACTAATCTGCTTTTCAGCTCCATTCTCCTGTGCAGGGCAACCAAAGAAGACCCAGCCAATCAGCTGGGACTTGGGAGGCGGAGAATAGATGGGGGCAGGGCCAGTCAGAGGTGGTATTCGACAGTTCTCCGAACTACTCAAAATTTCTGCTACTGGTTCTGCAGAACTGGTTCAGAACCTGCTGAATACCACCTCTGGCTGGAAGGGACCTTCTAGGTCTTCTAGTCCAACCCCCTGCTCATGCAGGAGACCCTAGACCATTTCAGACAATTGGCTGTGCAGTCTCTTTAAAATTTCCAGTGATGGAGCACCCACAACTTCTAGTTGCAAGCAGTCCCACTGGTCAATTGTTCTCCCCATCAGGTTTCTCGCGGTGGTGGATCAGACAAAAAAAAATCCTCACTAGATTCTTTTAAAATTCTGTAAAAAAAATATCTTGAGGCATTCGGAGATAACATGTTACAGAGAAGGTTTGGGCGGGGAAGAGATCCCAGGATCTGGTTGGAGCCAAAAAAACGGGGAGATGCTGGTCCTTGGCAGGAATGCTGACCTCCGTCTGATCTCTGCGATTATCTGGATCTCTTTGCATCCAGAGAGGATCTGGATCTCTTAGCAACGAGATCTCTTGGTTGCTAAGGTGATCCATCGGGCCTCTTGGAGATCATCTGCCTGTTGGGAGGAGGGTGAACTTGGTGAAGCTCCCTCTTGAAAGCAGGCCCAGCCACAGGGTCCTTGTAGTCTTCTGGATGTATGTAATGCCAGCCATTTGACTTCTGTAGCAATAGTTCTCCATTGGAGCAACTTGAAGGTGGGTGGACTTCAACTCCCAGAATTCCCCTGCCAGCCTATCAGTTTCCTATTTAGTTGTCTTGCTATCCAGCCCACCTTTAACTTGTTTATTAATTTAATCTCCCCCACACACACACTTTTGCTGAAGTCAAGATATATTACATCTACCGCATTCCCACCATCTATTAAGAAAGTTGCTCAGTCAAAACAATGTCATGGGTTTTTTTTGTCCTATCCATGCCAACTTCCCCTTGCTGGCTGGGGAATTCTGGGAGTTGAATCAAACACTCCTTTAGGATCTAAAAGGAGCCACAGATCACAGAGGATTCTGGAAAGGTTTCGCTTTAGACGGGAAACTGTTCTGCGGCATCGGATGGGCAAATCCAGAAGATGCCCTGTTGGAGACAAGGCCCATTTTTTTTAGACCATTCACATGTGCTTCCTTTCCTTCTTTTCCCATGACAGATGATGATAATTCTGGGGGTGATATGCGCCATTATCTTGATCATCATCATTGGTGAGTGACCATTGCAAAGAACGGGGACGATGGGATGTAAAGTGGGACGGGAAAGTGCCTTCAGTGGCTTTAGAGTGGGGGGGGTGGTCAAACTTGATTTCAAGGAGGGCTGCATCAGGATTGTGTTTGACCTCAGGAAAGGGGCATGGCCAGGGGTGGGATTCAAATTTTTAACCAGTTCTGTAGGCATGGCTTAGGTGGTGGGCGTGGCTTGGTGGTCATGTTATTGGTTGGGTGTGGCCAACTCAATATCACTCACATTGAGGCATGCATCTCCTCCCCTGGTCTCTCATGATTGTGGGGATGCTGCAACAGTTGTAAGTGTGAAAAATGGTCATAAGTCACTTTTTTCAGTGCCATTGTAACTTTGAATGGTCACTCCACACAAGCAAAGTACCAGCAAAGGAGGGGGAAAAAACTCCAGAGAAGTTCCTGAGACAGGAAGTCTAGTCCTGCCAAGAATGTAATAAGGGTTAATGGAGAGGCAGTTTCTATAAGCAACACCAGAATGTTTCCTTCCTGCCTTCCTTACAGGATTAGGCCAGTAATTTCTTCTAACAACCGGTTCTCCAAACTGCTTAGAATGTTAACAACCAGTTCTAGCGAATAGGTGCAAACTGATAGAATCCCACCCCTGGGCGTGGCCATGGGGGGCGGGACTCGGGACACCTGTGGTGGCCAAGTGCTAAGACAGGGGTTCCCTGAGACCCTCCCTCCCTCTCATTATAACCTTCCTTCTTTCCTCAATCCCTTCCTTCCTTCCTTCCTCAATCCCTTCCTTGCTTCTTCCTCCATCCCTCTCTTCCTCAATCTGTTCCTCCTCAATCCCTTTCTTCCTCAATCCCTCCTTCCTCCAGCCCTCCCTTCCTCAATCCCTCCCTCCCTCCTCAAACCGTTTCTTCCTTCCTTCCTTCAATCCTTTCCTCCATTCCTCCTTCCTCAAACCCTTCTTCCTTCCTCCATCCCTCCTCAAACCCTTCTTCCTTCCTCAATCCCTCCCTATGAGGTGCCTATGAGGTGGCTCGATATGTAGCACGTTTTACAAGGCCAGTTGTGTAGCAAACAAAATACAGCTTTAGCACACTGGCTTAGCAGTTACACCGGGTTGTGTAAACTACTGGCACCATTAAAGGTAGGCCTCGACCTAACGACCGGTCGCTAAGCAAGACCATTCAGCATTACAAACCAGCCAACCCGCCCTAAAACAGGCATTTTTCAACCCAGATTTGAAGTTCTGACATTGCGAACTCTCTCTGTGGTCACGTGACCGAACTTGAGATGCCTGGCAATATGCCTGCATTGTCCCATTTTACGACGGTCTTGTGAAAAACAGCCCTTCCAGCCTTGTCAGTAAAAAACCATACCTACCGACCACCGCTAAAAAAAAAGAATTTGTCAACTCATAAAATATTTCTATGGTCTTTTTACAGTTGCCAACAGAAAGCCGGGGGGCGGGGGGGGCGGGGGTTGAAAGAGCGGTGTGGCAGCTTGGAAACTGAAAGTGCATTCCATACATAGTTTTTCGAAGATAGTAACTAGGTGACTGAAGTTTCTGCCTTGCAAAATTCTAACTGGAGAGCATGATTGATGACTCTTGGCTATGGATGTGTCCCATTGGAGAATATGAATTACGATACACCCAAGGGGTGGGAAGAAAACCAGGGTCAAGGGTGACAGTGAATTATGTGTCTCAGAGTCAGCTGCACCCAGGCAGTGCCGGACATGTTAACTCCCAATAAATCCTTTTGAAGTTTTTGAAGTTTGGCTCGAGACTCATGATTTAATTGAGGTAACTGCCTGGAATCCTGACAAAATTTGCAAAACCAAACCAGTCATAGGAATGACTGTAACGGGCATTCTCCATTATGTCGTTCATATAACGAGGACTCCCTATAACAGTGGTGGGTGACCTTTTTGGGCTTCTGTGCCAAAAATTGTGTGCATGCTCGCATGCCAACACCTAGAAGGCAATGTGCATGGTCCCCCCACGCCCCCTGCACATGCACATGTGATCCCCCCCACTCCACCCCCTTACCTGCACTGTGCCTCACAGCTGATTTTCGGGCCTTTTTCAGCCTCCCAGAGGCTTAAGGGAAGCCTTTGCAGGCCGAAAAATGGGCCGAAATACAGGAAGTGATGAAATGGGAATATTTTTCGGCCTGCAAAGGCTGCAGAGGCTTCCCTTAAGCCTCTGCGAGGCCGAAAAAGGCCCGAAAATCAGCTTTAAGGCGTGCTCATGCGCGCCTTAAAGGTAAGTTTGCCTGGGGCTTGCATGCCCGCACAAATGGCTCTGCGTGCCACCTGTGGCACGCATGCCATAGGTTCACCATCATGGCCCTATAAAATATTCTTTTTTTTCTCTTTCTTTGCAGTTTATTTCAGTACTTAGTGGAAATTCTCCAGGACGTTTCCCCAACCAGGAGCAGTGGCCGGGAGATGCGCACCGAGCCGAGTCTTCCAGCACCAGTTACAACACCCTCAAGACCCCCCCTTACCCCCCCTCCCTCCCCCCCCTCCCCCCCTTCCCCAGGTGTGTGAGTGTGGCGTTGCATGTGGGTGTCTTGTAAATAGCACAATTTGTTATTTATACATATACATATATATACATATGGTATTCATCTTTGTTCGGGTATTTTCCCACATCATTATAGTTGTGCTTTTAAAGTTGTAGCAACGTTTTGGCAGAATCTCATCTGCCATCATCAGGCTTGTGCATTGTGTTCATCTGAGTCAGGCTTTCACAGCCGTTTCTGTTTTAAATTTGGTGCTAGCCTCGTGCTTTGTTAGAATGGTTTTTTTCTTTATCCTGATTGGTTGGGAGTCTTGGTCTGTGTTTATTGGTCTTGGAGTTTGCGGTGTTCTGCTTGATTGGTGTTTCTAATATCTTCTGTCTGTTTTGTAGAATAAGAATAAGTACCCGCCTTGATGAACACAAAAATGCAGTAAAAAAGTTGGAACACACTTCCTCACTAGTCCAACACATGAAAGCCACAGGTCATAGCATCAACTTCAATGGCACCAAAACCCTAGCCACTATAGAAAACCCCAGCTACAGAATTATCAGAGAAGCCATAGAGATTGAAAAAAGACCTGAAAGCATGAATAGAAGAGATGACTCCACCAGACTGTCAATTATCTGGAAGCCTGCACTCACAAACAAAAAAAATCTCCACACCACTAGCCAGGCAAACACCTGGGCACAAACAGATCCCCTCTGATACCTCCAGCTCAAACACACCCCAACCAGGCACCCAGATGAAACCTAGCTTCCTAATAAATAATAGCCGTCCATTTACTGAAAGCCAAGCCTCACTAAAAGCCTCCAATAGAGGAAACATAATGTTGCCAGCCAATCAAGACAAAAAAATGCTACAAAACAGACAGAAGATATTAGAAAAACCAATCAAGCAGAACACACCAAACTCCAAGACCAATAAACACAGACCAAGACTCCCAACCAATCAGGATGAAGAAAAAACCATTCTAACACAGCAGTAGGCAAGCACCAAATTTAAAACAGAAATGGCTGTGAAAGCTTGACTCACAGACGAACACAATACAGAAGCCTGATGATGGCAGATGAGATTCTGCCGAAACGTCGCTACAACTTTAAAATCAACAATAATGACGTGGGAAAATACCCGAACAGAGCTGAATACCATATATATGTATGTGTTATGTCTCCTCTTGGAAATTCAAACGAACAAACAGAAAGCAGCCGTTTCACAATCAAATCAAACTGAAGGAAATAACAAGATAACGGCTGGCAGAAACTGTTAGGACTCCCCTTCGAAATTCAAACAGAAAGCTCTTTGTAGTAACGTCCTCATTCAAAATAGTCATTTTGTTCCTGGTGAAAGGCACCAGCTCAGCTGTGTCCTTTTATACCCATTAAGGCAACGTGCTAATTAACTGGCTTGCCCTTCAGATTAACTTTTCCTGGTTCTGACGTCAATCCATGATCTAACAGTCATCAGAGTCAAAACTCCCAACAGGACCGATCCTTCCAATCACAACATGTATGTATGTGTGGAAGTATGTATGTATGTATGTACGTACGTACATACATACATATATATGTTATGTGTGTGTGTGTAATATATATTCGGTGGGCTCCCGAACCCCCCCATTTCCCGCCCCCCTGCAAGCAATTCCTAGTTGACACACTGAGCATGCCCGATCTTTGAATTGTATCTCCCGCTCCTTTCTCTTCCCCCAGATAGCTAGAATCTGAAGATTCCCGGCTCGCTCATCGGAGAGATCCGGGAGAAGTTATCCCTCTTCAGAGTCGCTTCCCCGTTTAGTCTTCTTGGCCATGCTGCTAGTCCTCAGTGTCTTTGGCCACCCTCTCCTCCCACCCTGGTGATCTCCCTCTATAAACTTTTTTTATTTATTAATTTATTCGACTCATACTGCCATTTTTCTCCCTTAAGTGTCTCCGGGCAGCTCGCCTGGCGTTGGGGAGTCAAAGCATTCCTTTCCAACGGTTGGTCCTGCTTGTGAATCCTCCCGCCAGCCGTGGCGTTCTTCCTCCTTCACTCCCTTCCTCCTCCAAACCACAGCGACTATACTGCCATTACTTCCCGTGTGTAGAAACCACTGTTGTTTTTGGAGTTGTGAACAACAGCCACAACAAAACACGGTTGCAATTTTGTGACATTCCACTCTCGATTCTTTTCTAAAAGGGGAGAAGAAGGACCTAAGATTTTCTCCCCTCTTAGGACCTGGGCGTCTTTTTCTTGCGATCACTGCCTACCTACACCCTGTTTTAAGGAGTTTGTGTGTGTGTCCTTGTGGGTGCATGCTGTGGGTGTGTATGTGTGACTACGATAAAGAGGAGGAGCGGGGGCTCTGGCTTGTCTCCTTGCAGAAGACACAACAGGCTGGGGTGTTTTTTGCTGAACTTTACAAAAACCAGTGGATCAGACAATGTAAGCTTGGGTGAGGGGGCTTGGTTCCCGGGGGGTGTCTAGGATTGACCCTTCCTGACCTGATCCTGTGAACGAAATGAGGGCTGTCCTGTGTTCTAATCCTGTGGTGAAGTTATAATTTATTGTTAGAATTAATTAATTTATTTTATTTTTTGTTGAGGCTTTGTTTCCTCAACGTAGCCGGTTAACCGAGGGGTATGAAGGTGGTTTAAACTTTGCAGGGGTCTCCAACCTTGGCCACTTGAAGACATGTAAACTTCAACTTCCAGAATTCCCCAGCCAGCCGTGTAGGGTAACTTTCTTAATAGATGGTGGGTATGCAGTAAGCATAATAGAACTTGACTTTGGCAAAGGGGGGTGGGGAGAAGTGGCTGGGGAATTCTGGGAGTGGAAGTCCTTGCTAAGGTTGAAGCGCCCGGTTTAAAGCATGAAATGGAAACAGCTGGATATGAATGGATGTGGATAGAGACACCCTCTCCCCCCTTCCTCTTTGTGCAACCTCTCCCCCTCCTTGTTGGCCCTGTCCTCCAAGCCTGCCCATTTTTCAGCTTTGCAAATGTTGTAGTTGTGATTAATTGTGACGAGTGACCACAAATCTCTTCCCCCTCTCCCCCTGTTTTCAGTACAAACTGCCATGTTTTGGGGCATGTTTATAATGTTGGCTACATGTGAGGGTTTTTTTTTAAAGTATTTTTTGGTACACCCCCCCATCCCTCTTTCTCTCTCCCCCCTCCCACCGGCCTTTCCTCTCCTCTTTCCCCTTCCTCTCCCCCCCAAGAGGAGGAAACAGCTGTATCCTATCTGTGTACAACAATTGCTCTCCCTGGGGAAAAAGGAAATCTTTTTTGGAAGAGGAAAAAGGAAGAGAAGAAAGATGGACATGTGCAAACTGTTGGGGGGGGGGTAACCAAAGCACGGATGGGGGTCTCGGCAGGAGAATCCTGTGGTCCAGAGGCCCTGCTTGGGGGGAGAGAAAATGAATGGGGGGGCATTGGAGGGGAAGGGATGATCTGGCTGGGAAAAGATCAGGAATGGGGCAGAAGTGAGAAGTTTGGGATAGTCTCCTACTTCTTAGTTTGGAGGGACGACGGAGCAAGGAGACTTCACTTCCATCCTCCTCTTCTCAAGCTGGCCGGGGGTGTGTGTTTCTTTGGGGGTTTTAATCTGGGGAGAAAAGAGGGGGGAATACCTTGTGAAATAGAGCCACGGGTAGAATGCGGGAGGGAGGGAGGAAGTCCCTTGATGCATCGTCTTCCATATATAGTCTAGGACGGGTGTCGGCAACCTGCAGCTCTGGAGCTACATGCGGCTCTTCGGGCCCTCAGCTTTGGCTCCCTGTTGGGTGGTCCTACCACTGGGTGGCCCCACCCCTTGCCCTCCCTTCTCAGTCACTCCTCGCCTGGCCTGAGAAGGTAAAACACAAAAAATGGGAGGGAGGGAGAGAAAACACCGGGAGCCAAAACCTGGGTAGGCGTGGCGGGGGGGTGTCATGTGACTGGGTGAGAGTGACATTGAGTTGGCCACCCCCACCCAGGTTTTGTGGCTCCTGGTGTTTTGTTTTCTGTGGGAAACCGGTCCAAATGGCTCTTTTGGGTGTTTTTAAGGTTGCAGACCCCCCTGGTCTAGGAGAAGAGCTGTCTATGGTAGGAGGACCCCGGAGCCTCTTCTCAAACCAGCTTTTATTCAAAGGTCAATTTGACAAACTTTTTGGGGGGGTGTGGAGGGGCTCTAATGATATTGGGGGAGTGAGGGAGGAAGGGAAGGTGGGTTGAGAGGAGGCAAGTTGCAGCTTGTGAGTCCCATCAGCAATTGTGCGTTGAAGAACTTGTGTGGGGGACCTTTCTTTGATAGGCTTGCAACCCTTTTGGGGTGTCCCTGTCATTTGTGCTGAAAAAGAAACTTTGGAGCTGCCTTTTAAAGAAACTATTTTAGTCCAAAACGGGGCTCCCGAGATCCTCAGATCATGTCGATAAAATCACTTTAAGACAATGTGGGAATTTCAACTCCCAGAATCCCCCCCCCCTGCCTGCGAGTTAAGGAATACATCCTGCAGAGCTCTCTGGGGGAATTCTGGGAGTTGAAGTTCTCACGTCATCTTTTTTTAAGTGGCCAAAGTTCAAAAAATATTGGAATAAAGAAAGGTGTAGGGTTTTTGGGGGGTGGGGGGGAAGAGAAGGAGCTGCCCCCTCTCCAGTTGGCCAACAGGTGTCACTGTGGACATGGTAACTTACCCAAAGAGAATTTAAAAAGAGGATAAAATAGATCCCAGCCCAAAGCTGAAGCAGACAGACATCATCGTTGGGAAGGAAGGAAGTTTTCCTTGAGTTAAAACTGCCCAGCCAGCCCTGATCCTCAGCAGGAAAAAAAAGGGAGGGTTAAGATCCAATCTGGGATACAAGCAGGGGTTTGATTATGCTGTGAAAAACAAACAAACAAACAAAAAACAGAATATTGATAT